CTGTGGGGTTCTGTGGGGTTCTGTGGGGTTCAGTGGGGTATCAGAGATATCAACCTACTGTGTGTTTTTTTTCAAACCTTAAAATCCAGAATCCCTCGGGACCACCCCGTGAGTGTGTGGCGGCCTCTAGTGGGGGTCCCGACCCTCAGGTTGGGAACCATCTCTGGATTAAACCAGCTCCCCTTCCTCTTTGGATGTTTCACACTTTAATCTTCGTTGTCTCTTTCAGGCCCGCGAGCCTCAGACGGCGAGTTCTCACGTGGTGACGGTCTCTGGTTTGATGCCCTCATCCGCCTACAACTGCACCATCACCAGCTTCAGCTACAGCACGCCGAGCAAACCCGCCCACATCACCATCAGCACCGTCGGTAGGTGGCACGGTCCGCCACACAAACACACACAATGGAGACAATTAAACCTTAATGTCAATATTTTGACAAACAATCTATTAATGAAGGTAGAATTGTGTTTATGTTTTATTAATGGAAATATTAATATTATTAATATATTTATTGGGTTGTTAGATTAAGGTGTAAAAACTGTTGCCTTTAATTTGAACCTCCTATTAATGAGTAATAAATGGGTTATAAATTAGCTATTAATGTGTTATTATTGAGTTATTAATGAGTTATTATTGCGTTATTAATGAGTTATAAATGAGTTATTAATGGTTATAAATGGGTTATTAATGTTATTAATGACTTATTAATGAGTTATTAATGCGTTATTAATGCGTTATTAATGTGTTATTAATGCGTTATTAATGCGTTATTAATGTTATCAGTGTTATTAATGAGTTATTCATGGGTAATTAATGAGTTATTCATGGGGTTTTAATGTGAATAAATGACGGAAGTTTGTTTGCTGTTTTTTCAGTTGTTAAAATAAACATTTCCTGTAGATGTTTCACATTAAAAGCCTTCTGTCTATATTAATGAATTATTATGAGTTATTAATGGATTATTAATGAACCTGTATGCAGCTAAAGAGATGAACCCGAGTGTCGCAGCGATCTCGGCTCTGGCCGTCCTCAGCATCCTCCTCATCAGCCTGCTGGTCCTGTTCCTGCTGGTCCTCCGCAAGAAACACCTGCAGATGACCAGGTACTAAACCCTAGACCTGGACCAGGTACTGAACCCTAGACCTGGACCAGGTACTGAACCCTAGACCTGGATCAGGTACTGAACCCTAGACCTGAACCAAGTACAAATACATTTGTATCCGACTAAATAAAACAATGAAATGATGATTTTAGTTCCTCTAACCAACCTTTAGTAACAACAATGACAATAACAGTAATAATAATAGTGATACTGATATTGATCGGTGATTGATTGAATGATTGATTGAGGTGGAATTGGTCCGATCAGCAGTGGATCAGATGTTTTCAGGCTGGTCGTAAAGGTTTTGCAGAAGTGATCTGGTTTCAGTCAGAATTGAAGTTTTATTCTTAGAGTCTCAAACACAAACGACTTCCTCACTGCGTGTGAATTATATCACTGTGACAACCGCTGCAGATTACAGCCCATAATGCTGGATTTATTCCTGTCAGCTTTAATCCTGCTGCTTCTAAAATAAACTTCTGCTGCTTCGTGGTTCCCTTCAATAAAACCGTTTCCATAAAGACACATAGTGAGTTTGCTTTAAGACAAACCTGAGATACTTATGATGAGACATTTATGATCAGGAGTTTTTACTTTGTCAGTGAAATTAAAATGATGAAATTGTAAATTTAACCTTTTTGCTATAAAGTCAAAATTATGATTCTTTAATTTTACATCAAAAATATAAAATTTTTAACTTTTTAGGTCAAATGTACTTTTTCTCTAAAGTCCCGATGTGAGTGCGTCAGTGTTTATTTAGACTGTACATCAGCCTGAAGCTTTTTTTCTTTTAATCTCTCAGTTGAGGCTCAGTTATTTTCACACTCACTTTAACTCACTTCCTCTATTTCCTGATTGGTCATCAAATATTTATGACTTCCCCAAACTGCTCTCAACTGTTCTCGCCACATTTTCCACCCATGTGACGTGTTTCTCGCTGTTTTCTGTTTCAGAGAATGCGGCGCAGAGACATTCGTCAACTTCGCCTCCTTTGAGCGAGACGGGAAGCTTCCCTATAACTGGTAGGATCCTCCTCCATTTGTTCCCTTCAGATCACTGAGAAATGTTTAATCTAAACAGAAGCTGAACTGTCCTGAGACCTGAGGGGTGTTTAGCAGGTTCTGGGATCTGGTTCAGTGATCACATCCTCAGCTCGGATGTTGCTGCAAACACCCTGCAAAGACCCAATCAGAGGCAGATTAGCGGCTCGGCGGGGGATTGAGGAGGCAGATTAGAGATTTGAACATGTAGCTACAGATTTTAGCCAGTCTGTGGCGCTTTAAGCAGCGTGAGGCGATGATGCTGATGATGATGATGATGAAGCTCAGCCCCCTGCCTGCTTTGTTTGGAGCAGCTGAAACAGGTTGTTTGTTAATGATAAAAGATCAGGATTTCCCTTAATCTCAGATTAAAGGGACTCAATGTTTATTTTGGAGTTAAATTCTACAAAACAAGAAAAGACAACTGACAGTCGGAGTTAATGGCTGTAACGTGTCGAGTTATTTTTTATAAACACAGTGATTAATGATTAATATAACAGCTGAAAGACGGTCAGTTAAGGCAGAACCTTGGCTTCCATCTGCTGTTGTATTCGACCTCCATCACTAAATGCACATGTCCATCAGAGTGTCTTCTTACTGTGGCGCTGGAGTTGTGTTTATGCTTTGACTGTGCATGTTAGCAGACCTTCGTTGTGTGGATGTGGAGATGTCACCACTGATGCAGATAAATGTGTAAAATTCAACTAAAAATGACCCTAATGTTGAGTAGAGGGCCTGCAACCTCTCCAGTGGCTCCCTGTGGCTCCGACATTATAGTCTATTAATAACAGATATTTGACATTGTCGTAGACATAAACTGTAAGTATGTGTGTCCATTACACACCCAATTTAAAATGTTAGTTAACTAAAATATGAGTCATACTTTATTTTTCCAAACATCAGTAGTGGTGGTTAATAGTCTTGAGTCTCCCGAGCTGGACTAACTATAGACTCAAACTCCAAAACAGAAAAGTCTCAGAGGAAAAAGACTGTCTGTATAATAAGGACTGTTTGTCCTACACATGGACTTGTGTGGGCCAACTGTTTTGGTTCTTTATTTATTATTTATTTAGCTTCACATAAATATTGGAATATAAATATAAAATAGTATATGAATGTATATTAACCAACATGGTGTACCTCAAGGACCCCTTCTGGGTCCTGTTCTTTTCTCCATTTACATGCTTACACTTAAACAGAAGGCATGTTATAGCTTATCATCTGTATGCAGATGATACACAACTGTATCAATACAAAAAGTATAAAACTTTAAGACACACTTGTCTCCCAATTTCCATAAATTTGTAGAACCTAAATCATTAATCCCAAAATTTGTTACAGCTTCTCCCAACAAGTTGTCCCTGCAACTGAACTTACTTTTCTTTCTTTTTTTTGCTCACACACACATTACAATTTAATTTCCAAATCAAGATATTTAATTATTTACACAACTCAAAAATGTAAATAGTGTGAAGAGTATTCATTATCTGTATCTATAACGTATCTGTATCTGGGCAGAGCTTAAGCCAAAGTGGGCAGGGCTAACCACAAGTTGTAAATTTAAGACAAAAATTGATTATCAGTGAAATGAATTAATTGATCATAAGTTGGTATATTTATTAGAAAACAATTTACAGAACTGAGCTTCAGAGAAATGTGATTACAGTAAGAAGACTATTTACAGAACAGGCTATTTTTTATAAAAGTTGCTATATTTGAGAAATACAAACGTGATTTTCTACAAAACTGTAACAAAAGAAGCCAATATGACAAAATGTTGAATCTTGTCTAAACACCAGCATAATTTAGATTTACAGTTTAAATCAGGAACTATCAGATCAAAGAAATCAAAGAGATTTGATTTTTTAAATTATTAATGGACACAACAGACACATTTCACTCTGCACTTAAAGGAGGTTTCAGGGGTTTAATAAGATGTTGTTTTAATGTTTCCACTCCGGAGCTTCCTATTTCAGAACCATAGTCTGGATCTTTTTTAAATAAAGAATCTGTATCTGCATCAGTGAGGTCATGAGCCGAGGAACACAAACGTTAAAGAGATCATCAGGTTCATTAAGGTGGCTGTCACGTGGTCTGATGTCAGCACCGAGTGACAGAATGTGGACTGTTTTTACATGATGAGGGTCCTGGCTGAGTGTTGCATTGTGGGATGGGCCGGGAAGATGCAGTGATGTCACAGACTCAGGCTGGAGGTTGTTTAATGAGACAGAGCGGCCATTGACGTCCAGCAGCAAACAGACTCCTGTTGTCCTCCAGAGAGACAACGGGACACTTTCTGAAGGGCTGCATGATGCATTAACTCTGTGTTCAGCACTAATGTGAAGCTCTCGACGCTCAGTGCCTCTTTACTAATGGAGCACCATGTTCTGTCCCCAACCTATCGCCCCCTGGTGTCTGTTTTTCTTTATTTTTTCTTGTGTGTGTTTTTATTTGATGTTTTATTTGAACCCCCTTCAGGCGAAGAAGCCTCTTTGCCTTCCTTACCCTACTGCCATCCTGCCTTTGGACTGACTATCTTTTGGCTTTTTATATTAATCCTTGGTAAGTAAGCACTTGCTGGCCAAAAACACTGCACTTCAGGGGCATGTCTTAGCAGAGCCACAGCCCACAGTATTGATCAGAGACATTGTTTTACTCTCCATTTCAACCTAAGTGACCTCAGTGCGGAGCCACCAGATCATCTCTGGATACAGAACTGAAGGATAAGTCTGCTGATATTCCATATTTTTCTTATTGTCAACAAATCCCATGAAAAGGTCAAAACCAACAAGTAATTTAGCGATGTGGTGTACCCCAAGGCTCAATTCTGGGTCCCATTATTTTCTGTGTTTACATGCAGCTGATACGCAGTCATATCTCTATCAACAGTAGAGATACTAGTTGTCTCCTTGCCCTCAAATATTGATTGGAAAAAAGAAGTGTTGGATGTCGTGTAATCATTAACAAACGGGAGAAGACTTTGATGACTTTATTTCGGCCAAATATTTTTACTTTTTTAAACAAATCCCAGGAAAAGACCAAAACAAACACTGCATTTATGGATGTGGTGTACCTCAAGGCGTGATTCTGGGTCCTATTTTCTTTTCTTATTTTTGTTTTTAAACAGATGATACGTAATTATATCTTTCAGTCAGCCCCAGAGAAACTAGTAGTCTGGTTGCCTTTAAGTGGAAATTAACTGTTAAATGTCTTTCTCCAGCTCAATGAGGATCAGACAGAAGTTATTACGTTGAATTTGTCCCAAATATTTTTATTATATTCAAGAATTCATATGAAAATACCAAAATCAACAATGCGTGTACAGACGCGGTGTACCTCAAGGTGCTATTCTGGGCCCTATTTGTTCCAGGTTGCTTCCCATACACAGGTTTTGGGAAGCGGCTGTTAGCTGCTCTTTATCAGAGGTGGTTTTCAAGGATGAGGACTGTCAAATGTACGTCTGGTTAACTTTCTCACCTCAGATAAAGAGCATCTGCTTCTATTTTCTTTTATATGGGAATCAACATGGACGGGTCGAGGGTTAAAACAACTTCTTGGTTAAGATCAGGAATGGTGATGGTCGCAGTTAAAATAAACCAACGATGGGAAGTGAAGCATGGTCACGTAAGTCCAAGGTTTTGTTGAGCCATCCATCTATCCTGACCTTCTTCCTCTGTGGACTTTGAGACTTTATAACAGCGTCACCTGAGTCTGTCCTTTGCTTCTGGTGGACCAGCTACAAGGTGCTGAACATAAATGTTGTTCGGTGGCATTTGCTCAAATGACTGAAGCTGTTGTTTTTCTTTAGTCTTTACATGGTTGACCATAATATACTGCTGTGTAGTTCAGATAATGCAATAGTCATAGTTGTCGGTTTCTTTGTGGTCAGTTTGTAACCCATCATTGAGGTAACTCGTCCTCTGAACATTAAATCTGGTGTTCCACAAGGCTCAGTATCAGTTTATGTCAGTAAATAATAAGGGCATGTGTTTATATCACCTATTCAGCCACTCATAACATTAAATCTGGTGTTCCACTAGGCTTTTGGGCCCCTTGTTGTTCTTAATTTAAATTCAGAATCAGATTAATGTTTGTATAGTGGTTATATTTATTTGCAGACGACACTATTATATTTATTTCTTACAGAAATCTTAATAACTGCCATTTGATTTACGGAGACTCAATTCATTTTACTTGGGCCTAAATCAAAAACCACATATAGTTTGTTTATATCAGGGGACCTAAAATGAATCCTTGTGGAATGCCAGATTTAGGGGAGATACATCCTTAATATCTTTCAAATGAATTTGTTGTATTACCTGTTCAGCTTCTCTGAACATTAAATCTGGTGTTCCACAAGGATACATTTTGGAGCCCTTGTTGTTCTTAATTTACATAAATTAAATTATGTTTGTAGAAGTTCCCTAAAGTGACTATTTGGGGCAGCAGGACGGTGTATAAATAAACTGCAGTGTGGCTCACTGATGTGTTTTTATGGCACAGATAAAAAGATATAAACAATATTTATTAGCAGATTCATTGTTGGTTTGAGTCTGCACTTTGGATTTGTTGACAAGAAGGAAACAGAATATCACGAGACTCATACTTTAACTCTAAAAGCTGCATTTTGAATTAAAAAATGCTTTTTGGATTCACGGGGGGAAACAGGAAGTCAGCAGATGATTTTTCTGACATGTTGAAATGTGTCTTGCAATGCTGTGTCTGTGGTTGAACTCTCAAAGTCACACTCAGTGTGTTTCTACTAACATGTTGGATGTAGCATGATGCTAACTGTTGATGCTAACTGCGGCTTTGCTCCATGTTTGCTGTTTGCATGCCTCTTGTTTACTGTAGAAGTTCAGTTTGTAGAGCTGCTTTTAGCGTAGCTGTTTGTTCTGTTAGACATTACTGTGCATGTTGCTGGTGAAAGATTCACTTCCTGACGGCATTATGGAGCCTCCCAAATCTATAAATATGCCCTCAGCTCTGAGCTGAGAGGACATTTTGGGATTTGAGAGGTTGTGACACAGTGAGAGAATGAATCTTTAAAGGTTTGACTCCAGAATGCAAATACAGAAGCATGAAGTGTAAAAGATAAATTACTGTAAATGTAAAAAGCTGCATGTCTTATATGGAGGTGTTTGCATAAAACAGTTAGTTTGAGACGATTCATTAAATCAGTGAGCATGATGTTGTTTCTCTGATGTGATACGATCAGTTTATTCTAGAGTCTGTTTTCTAGGGTTCGACCGATGGATGGGTTCCCCACTGGCCCTTTATTGAAGTCTATGAAATCTCACTTTCCATTTGTTCAGTTGTATTGTTACAGCGTTTGCCTACACATAATAGTTACAGAATTATAATAATAAAAGTGAATGTGAAATTGATTTTTTCATTTTCCAATTGGCAGACGTGCAAATTAAGATCTAGATATTTGAATTTTTAAAGTATCTAAAAATAGATACAAATACAAATGGAAACTGACATTTAAATTTCTTATTTATTTGATTTAATATTAATATTGGCATCCATAGCCATCTATACATTTTAGTGTTTTACACTCGTATCATTGTTTTATTTTTAGTTTGAGTTAAATTGTCATATTTAAATGTATTTATTTAGGGTTTCAATCAATAAATGTATTCTAAAAATATAAACTTTTATTATTTTACACCAATAAAGGCTTTAAAAACCCACATCGGTCCAACCCTGATGTCTGCAGCTCTGGAGAACAGTCAGTAGGATCTAAAGTAATGCAGTATAATGCAGTATAATGTAATGTGTAATATAGTGTAATATAGTATAATGTGTAATATAGTGTAATGTAATTAGTAATTAGTAATGAGTTATCATCATGAGGAACTTTACATGTTTGTATTTTATAGGAGCAAGACAGCTTTAAAGAAACGGAAGCTAACAAGGTAACAAGACTAAACAACAACATGTGGCTCTGTGGGCTTCATCACTGTGTTTGTTTGTTTATTTATTTGTTTGTTTGTGTGCTGCCATCGCACTAATAACAGCCTTCAGCCAGAAACAGAGAACATCAGCAGATTAAGGTTTAATTTACAGTGGGGACGAAACAGGAAATACAATATACAATCTATAACTCTGCTCACTGGGAAGGGTCAAAGGTCAAATGCCTTTATATGCTGGAACCCTTCAGCCAGACGTCCATTGAGTCCTTTCTTACATTTTATAGAGAGATTGTACGTCCTGTGTAATCAAACAGCAGCTCACCTGTTCTATAAATATTAATATATATATTTATGAGCTGGTGGCGTGCTGCATCCTGACGGCTCTGTCTGTATATTTTAGTCCGGTGCAGCTGGATGACTTCGACGCCTACTTCAAGGAAATGAGCAAAGACTCGGCCTACAAGTTCTCCCTGCAGTTCGAGGTAAAAGCATTCCCAGTTCAATCAGTCAGACTCAGGAGAGCTGGTTCAGATCCCGGGACGCTGGTTCAGATCCTGAGATGCTGGTTCAGTGAATTAAAGGTTCCTGTGAGTCCTGCAGATGTCTGACAGATGTTGATGTTTTTCAGGAGCTGAAAAGCGTCGGTCTGGATCTTTCCCATGATGCAGCTGACCTGCCCATCAACAGGCCGAAGAACAGATACACCAACATCCTCCCCTGTGAGTCACTGACAGCAAAGCATCATGGGTGAAACTCACTAAACTAAACTAAGGTTTCATTATGTTTCCTGAGAATGGGATATTCAGAAATATTAAAGACCTGCACGAAGAAATGTTGTCTGTCCAATATTCAAATCAGCAGCCTCCTTATAACAGAATTATTATTAATTCATCTAATTAATAATACATTTTATTATTAATAAAGTTATAACAACTACATAGTTTCGCACTTAAAGAAAGTTTTAGTTTGTGAAAGTTTCCTGTAACTGTGTGAATTTTCCCTCCAGACGACTTCAGTCGGGTGAAGTTGATCTCGATGCACAACGATGAAGGTTCAGACTACATCAACGCCAACTTCATCCCTGTGAGTTCATCCTCTGCATCCACTGAACACACACACACTGTTTACTGTTTACACACTGGATCTCATCTGCTTTATATTCTTAATATTAATACTGACACACCTATTTAATAACTTTATATTCCAAATAAATGAATTATTGTAGAACACTAATGATCTCTGAAGATGATCAGTAACATAACATTATAAACCAACGCTAACCTGATGTATATAATTATATATGTATTATATAATCTGCTGTCTGTTTGATCTTAAGGGCTACAAACACACCAAGGAGTACATCGCCACTCAGGGTCCGCTGCCCGAGACCCGTAACGACTTCTGGAAGATGGTCCTGCAGCAGAAATCTCCGATTGTTGTAATGCTCACGCAGTGCAACGAGCGGCGGAGGGTAAGTCTCCTTCCTGTAGCACCTGAGGGTGTATTTTACCTTCTGCTCCACCACATGTGTCAGCTTCTTCCTGTAGTAACAGATTATTACACACTTATATGTAATAATATAAACCTCGTTCTGCTGCCCCCTGGTGGACAAACACTGCAGTCTGATCTCAGTGGAAACTATTGATCTGATCTGTTTCCAGATACACAGGCTACCATACGATTCAGGGACATTTTAATATGGAAGAATTCAATACAATAAGATACAGTTCTCAACATTTGTTTAATGTAGACATTTATTTTGTCTGATTAAAAGCCTGTTCTATACCAGCGAGTATTTTTCTCTTTATGGGAACAATCTGAAGACAAATGTCTGATTTCAGAATTACAGTCAGTGTGTTTATTGATTTTCAGACAGACAGGTAACTTTAGATCCAGTCTGCGTACCGATGTCGTCTCTGCTGATCTTGTGAACTGATTTGAAGACCTTTGTCTCTCCAGGTGAAGTGCGATCACTACTGGCCGTTCACAGACGAGCCGGTGATGTACGGAGAGATCAGTGTGGAGATGTTGTCTGAGTCCGAGTCTCCGGAGTGGACCATCAGGAAGTTCAGACTGGGATACGTGAGTTCCAGTTGCTCAATAAAAAAGCTGCAGGTCCACTTTGAACCACCAGAGGCCGCTCTAACAGACAACCTTTGTCTCCCCCTGCAGGCTGATGAGAGTCAGGACGTCCTCCACCTGAACTACACCTCGTGGCCGGATCACGGCGTCCCCACGGTCAACGCCATCGAAAGCATCCTGCAGTTCGTCCACATCGTCCGTCAGCAGGCCAACAGGACCAAAGACCCTATCATAGTCCACTGCAGGTCAGGATGGGACCCCAACGGATCAATCACCGATAACTGATAGAAAGCAGCAATGACGTCATTGGCTGTGTTATGTTTTTAATTTCAGGTTAAACAAGTCAAATTTAATGAGTTACTGTTATTGTTCAAACTGATCATCATTACATTATAAAATAGAGTAAATTAAGTTAAATAGTAAAATGAATAAAAACTAAAACTAAGTTGTGGACGTTAGAAGGAGGTTTGAGCTCCATGTTTAATGATTTCTTCTGGTTCAGCTGTTTATGTCTCTGAGCAGGAAGAGCAGCTCTCATCCTGTGATAAAATGCTATTAGATGGATGATGTAATGTGCATTATGACTCGCTGTGGTTGACCGCGCTGGTCTGACGACGCCGTCTGTGTTTCAGCGCCGGAGTCGGCCGGACAGGGACGTTCATCGCTCTGGATCGACTGATGCAGCACATCAGAGAGCACGAGTTCGCAGACATCCTGGGGATGGTGTCTGAGATGCGTTCACACCGGCTGTCGATGGTCCAGACTGAGGTGAAAACTCCTCATTCAACAGTTTCACAACAACAATCTTTAATCTTTTAACAACAACAGCAATCTTTTAAATCAATAATTTATGTAACCATTCAAACAGGTTGAATACCGTAGAGGTTCAGGTCAGAGTCCAACGCTGTTACTAGCGTCTGTGATTAGCTTGCAGCTAACAGGTTGTCGTCCTCTGCAGGAACAGTATGTGTTCATCCATCAGTGCGTCCTGCTGATGTGGCAGAAAAAGAAGCAGCAGTCCATCACCTCTGACGTCATCTACGAGAACGCCAGCAAGACATAATGATGGTGGCTCCTCCAGACGTGAGTCAAAGACTATAACGTCCTATCAAAACCAGCGTTTGTTTCTCACTTTGCTCTTTTTAAGAATCGTTTACAGGAGTTTCTCTTTCAGTTCAGGACAGCGTCTGGTCACAAACGGTGGTCAGCGTTTATCGGACACTCTCACTGTTAGCTCGCTTTCGTCACCACGCTTTCCAAATAGGCCTTTTTCACAGCAGCTATTTTAGACATGAAATAGTATATTTTTCTCATTCCCAGGTTGTCAAAAACAGACGCGAGTGGTGTTCAGTTAGTTGGAATCTGCAACTTCATCACTAGATGCCACTAAATCCTCCACTCTGGTCCTTTAAGTTAGCTAATGTTATAGTTTTACTACCATGAGCTAAGTTAAAGGACCAGTATGAAGCATTTATTGACATCTGGTGGTGAAGTTGCAGATTGCAGCCAAGCATGATTTTCCCACTGAATAGACCTTTTTCACAGCAGCCATTTTGACATGAAATAATAGGATACACACAGGTGTTACCAATGACACTAATCACGGCTGCATTCAATTTAGTGTAACAGACTGTTTGTTAGCACTGGTAACACCTGTGTTTACCCGACTATTTCATGTCAAAATGACTGCTGTGAAAAAGGCCTTTTAACTAAAGTTTTCCCCAACTGTAACATTAATCTGGCCACAGCACAGGATAAAATATAAGTTGATTAAAAACGAGCTTTGTGTCTCTTTATTAAATTGAATCCCTTTTCCTTGTCTTGCAGGCTGCAAACACGCCCAACCTCCTGTGCTTCAGGCATCCATTCTCTGCAGAAGAAGATCAGCTTCATCATCAGTATCAACAAACCAACAGCAGAACATCTCGACGACACAAGAGAAAAAAAAATCCAGTTTTTTGTTTGAATTGGTGTAAAAGCGTTGGATGGATTTCTGCCTTACAACACGTTGAACCACGACCCCGCCCTCTGAACTGGACTGACTCACGTCAACGTGGGGTGGGAGGAGTCAGAGGAGGAGTGTTAACGAGCTCCGTCCTGCGATTGGACGTCTACACTGTGTCCGTCCTCGTTCAGACGACGGGAGGCGGCGAGTCGGTGGAGCTGAGTCAGCGGTTTTTCATTTGATTTGTTTTTTAATCTCAGGAGTAGCTGAAAAACCAGCAAGCACACCGGCCTCTTCCTCCGAATATCATTCATCATCGTTAGTTTTTTTTGCATCGTTTGTAGCGTTCACCTCTTGCAGCGTGCAGCTTTCCTGGCTTTTTACGACGAGTCGAAGGCGGTAGATTGCAACCGGACTCACTGCCAAAAGTCCCGAACTCGGGGCCGTAACATTGCTCTAACACGCTAACTAACTGCCAGGACCGCTGCACCGATTAAATCCACTGGAGGAACCCAGCAAGCATTCGGCGACGGTTGACGGTCAGGAACATGAGCACAACATTTTACATCTGATGCTGATTTTTAATTGGGCTAAAAACCGTCCGAATGCAACGTTTCCGTCCTGGTTGAACATCAAACGTTGGCGTCATAAATTTGGTACATTTTTCCTGCAGTTTTACAGATTTCGGCTTTAAAGCAGCTTCGTAAGGTTTTAACATGAAAGTTTTTTGGTACTAAATAATTTCATTAAACGCTGCTCGACTCATTTCACTGTGTCCGTCGAGTCAGCCGCTGAGCGTCTGAATGTTTGCTGGGTCTGCACACGAACTAAAGGGCACAAAAACAGTTGAAGGGAACGAACGCCTTTCTGTGGAAACACGAGTGCCTCATGCCGCCGTCCCGTCGCCGCCGACGCGTCGGAGGCTAGTTTAGACGCTAGAGACTGTGGTCGTAGAGCTGTAGTTTCGATATGCACTGAGGCCTCGGAGATGCTGACAGAAGAAGGGAAGAGCTGCTGACGGTGGAGGACCGAACGTCTTTCTATCCAACGGTCTCCACCTGAAGATGTAGATTAACTTTAGCGGAGAGACTTTTAATCTCATCGGCGGCAACAATCCTGTTTGGATCATATCTTGACAGCATCTGAGGACAGTGGAACTGCCAAAACCACCCTGAAATTATATCCATGTTCCCTTTATGTTGCTGAATTTGGGAAATGACACAAACATATCTGCTCAGCATATCTCCAGAGCCGGCCCGAGCCCCGAATCTGAGTATCAGTAATATCTTTATCATTAAACATATAAACCTGCAACTAGAATTCGTGACCAAATAAACGTAACCTAGTCAGTGCCGTAAAACTTAAAGATACATTCTCTGCTTTTGTTACTGCGCCCTAAACGCTTCATATACAAACATTCTTGTATTCAGCCGCAAATGTTGTTCCCATATGTGGTTTAGCCCCTAAAAGGTTCCGGTTATAAAGCTCCCAGAATACCAATAAGATATATTGACCCCTAAATGTAAATAAACTTGGTACAGTGGCCACAAATACTGAATTATTACTTATGACAGAATTTATGATGAAGGTACATTTAAAAACTGTTAAATGTTTGTTTTGCACGAATATAATTATTAACTCTATCAATTGTGTTTGCTCCCACAAGAAGTTGGAATACTGCCCTAAAACATTTGATACAAACGTAGACCCAAAATTAGAAATCACCTAATTTTGAAAAGTTTGTTACCATGTAAAATATTTGTTTTAATAAAAGCAATTTGCCCCAAATATTGTGATGAAAAACAGTTTATAAGTTTTGGTATCTTCCAACTAATTTTCTTCTTCTTATTATTATTATTATTATATATTATTTATAATATTTGGTGTTTATTCAGGTTCCTTTGGGGATAAATGCTAGAAGAACATATAGAAAAGCGTTTGGGCGTTGTAATAAAATCTGTGTTAACGTTAATAAATTTAAATATGGCGGCTCGGGCCGATATTGGTCTTAAACACACACTACTGTACAGGAAGTTGTTCTGAAGCCATTTTCTCGTTTTCAGATCAACTTAATTTAGTTTAGTTTATTGTCATCTTTCTACTCAACGTTTGACTTGAAGGACAAAAAGAAAACTTCTCACTTCCTTGACGACGGTAGAGAATGTCTACTGAACAGACGAGACCGGTCGACCTCGAGTCTTACACTCCATTCAGGAAGTACGGGGTGTCGTCAAAATAAGAGCCCAGAGCTGAGTGGCTTTTCTGTTCTCATTAAAGGTCCAACAAAAGATTAAACCAGATTTTTAATATTTACATTTAAATTTCTTCCAATCAAATCCAATCACAGGATTGTTCCAGTTTTACATGGATGTGAATGGGAGCGAATGTAAAAGGTCAATATTAAACATTTTACCAATTAACTCACTAAGTAACAAGTTTTTATTTTGTTCATAAATCATAAATTAAATGTTATGTTTCAAAACTAAATATTTCAAATAAGTCAGTTAATATTTAATGTTAAACAGCAGAAAGTATAAAACAGTATGAAAGTTATCTGATTGAACTGTTCTCACATTATCTGATATTGATGCTGTTTGTGTTATTTTAAGCACGAAAATTATCTTTGTGGCCTTTTGGTTCAAACTTCAATAGTTCTTCAGTATTTCTATACATATAATTTAATATAACTGAATATTGTACAGCCCCTAGAACATTTTATAATTCTAATAAAACAACTAAACTTTAAACTAAAAGGAAAAGCTGCTTCTGACTTCTGTTGGCGTTATTTCGACCACACCTCGTATCTAATTTGTAAAAAATAAAATAAAATAAAAAATGAAGAAATCCATGAATGTGTGTAAAAAGGCCGTTGGATGCTTCAGTGTTGACTTTGTAAAATGATTCATTGTGGCCTTGTGGTTTAAACACCTGAAGTCTTTACCTGCTGGTTCGGTCACCACTCGATCTGAAAGGTCACGTTTCACTGTTAGATATCCGACGTACTGTACATACTACTACTGCTTACTCTGTTTCTACTCGTCATTGCTGAGTAATTCTTGTGGAAATGTTGCTTTAGAGGTTTGTTTTTTAAAAGTTGTTGTATATGTGAATCATCATTTCCTGAGCCAGAAGTCCTCTCATCACTACGACGGCTTCGCGGTCGTCCGGAGACTCGTGGACACGGAGGACTCATCTGAGGCCGGAGGAACGCACTTTGGTACGACCGTCAGAAAAGACGAAAGCTCGGCACTGTACACTCTTCTTTCTCTTACTTAGTGTTCGTCCAGTCAGACTTGTTTGTTGGTGCCATTCTCGTGCATTGTGTCACTTAAAATTTGAGGGATGATCTTGAACTCGGATCATTGTCACAGAGTTTTAATGTGTGTGTGTTGGAACAAAATAAAATGTTGCAGTTATGTTAGTCGTGTTTCACTTTCTGTGTACAAACTACAAAACTACAGTTTAAGGTTAAAGTTTCATTAATGACAACAAAAGTATTTTTGATTTTCTTATTTTAAGCCAGCTTGTTTTAGTTTTAAAAACCTACCAAATATGATCATACTTCTACATTAACTTGTTAAATGTATCCCACGTTCAATATATTACATTATTAGGATACTTAACACTGCTCACTAATATTTGATGTGTAACATAAATCTATTTGTTAAATCAATTAATTATCTGCAGATCTCACTACATTTATTTTACAGTAACAAAATGATTCAGTCACAAATACTAAATTTATTTGTATTAATCCTAAAATGTGGTTTTGTGCCCACCAAAGGTGAATATTATTAAGCCAAATTTTGGTTTTAAACTACTACAATTAAACTTTAAGTAAACCAATTTAGCAATTTCACATTAGTGGTTTATTTGATATTTACAAAACTCAAATATAATCCGATATGATTGTGAAACAGCTGCTGATGCACTTTTAATAACTGACAGCGAGCGCTAATGACAGTTCAGCTGCTTAAGTTAACGTTGCGTTAGCTTCACACACTAACAGAACAGATCCTGGAGGCCTTCATTTAAAACTTTGAAGGTTAAAACCTTAAAACGATTATTATGATTGTGACAGAAATTTCATTTTTTAAAATATTTATTACAGTTCTGTTGTTTAGACTCAACAACTACTGAGCTACTTGCTAGCTAGCTAGCTAGCTAATGCGATCAAATTGACTTGAGGAGACGATTAGTCAGTTAGTTAGGGCTGGATCAGGTAAGT